GCGCACTGGCCTTGTAGGGCTGTAGCTCCTGCACTCGCCGCGCCATCTGGGCTGCGCGCGCCTCCATCTCCAGCAGCTGCGCGCGCACCCCGTCCTCGCGCCCGTGGTAGAGCGACTCCAGGTCGGCCCGCTGCCAGTGGATCTGCGTCAGGTCCGTGCGGTTCTGCTCCTCTAGCCCGACGACGGCGTTGGCGCAGCGTTGCGCGCGCGCGCTCACGTAGCTGGCGTAGAGCCGGTTCTCTTCGCGCAGGCGCAGCGCCTCGCAGTCGAGGAAGGCGTTCTCGCGCAGCACCCGGTCCACGCGCTCCTCGCAGGTGCGCAGCTGCTCCGAGAGCAGCCGGTACTCGCGCTGCAGGTACTGCGCACGCTCCGACAGGCGAGGCTCCGCGACCTCGGCAGCCGCGCTCTGCCCGCGCTTCTTCTTGGGCGCCATGGGTCCGGGCCTGGGCACCGGGACGCGTGAGGGCACCGCCCCCAGCCCGCTCCTCCACCTCAGCCTTTTCCCTCCCCAGCCTGCCTACGCTAGAGCGGTGGGACGTGACTCGGAGTGACGAGGTTGGGGGGAGGCAAAGTCAGGCGTATGGGATTAATCGGGGGCCAGGGCACCGTGGCCAGCCTTTACTCGTGGGTTCCTTCGGGACCTCGGCCCTTTGCCAGAGTTCGCCCCCCCTTGAGTCAAGTTGGCGTTCAGCCCATACAGTCTCCGCGGAGACAGAACTTAGCCGCACTTCCCCGCTGTCACCGGTTGCTTGGGCAACGGCCCCGCCCTGCAGAGGCCAGCCCACGGCGGGAAGGACTGTGGCTTCCGGAAGACGACCTTGGACTTGCCTCAGAATCAGACTAAGCAGCAGCCCGAGTATCCCCGGTCTCCAGGCGCCAGGCTTGATTTAGCAGGCTGACTTCAGAGCCGTGGCGACTCACTCACACAGCTTCATCTGCACGCAAGGTGTGGCGGTACTTCTTAAAATTAGGAACACAATTGAGGCATTTTCCTCCTTGTAAAGAATGTATTTTATAAATAAAATCAAAATGACATAAACTTTAAGACAACGCAGAATCTCCGTTTATTTTAACATTAAAATATTAAAGAGCCCTAGCCGTTTGGCTAAGTGGTTAGAGCGTCAGTTCGGACTGAAGGGTATCGGATTGGATTCCGGTTACACGTACCTTGGTTGCCGGCTGGATCCCCGGACAGGTCCAGACCGTGGGGGAGGCAACCAATGGATGTGTCTCTCACATCCATGCCTCCCTCTCTCTCCCCCTTCCATTCTCTCTGGAAAGCAATGGAAAAAATATCCTTAGGTAAGGATTAATATATATTTAATATATATATTAAAGAAACGTCATAACCTAAAACAGCATCTGAACGTTGGCCTTAAATGATACGGGTTTTTACTTATTTATCAAAAATTTATCTTTATTGTTGAAAAACGGGCTTTTAATATGATATTGGTGCCTGACTAATAGAAAAATTGACAACAGACCGAGTAGAATCAAGGCAAAACAAAAATCCTTGAACCTGCAAGTGGGGGCTTTACCGAGGCCACTTGGGATGTTTTCCTCTAGCCACTCTCTAGGGCCTGGCATTTCCATACCAGAGTCTCTGCCCCCAGGGGCAGCCGCCTACGCCCTACACCCTGCTACCCTCGGGGTCTGCCTGGGGCCTCTGTCCCCACTGGACAGATTTAGAAACTGAGACTGCGGGAGGTGGAGGCCTATTCCCACCCTCTGTCTGGTCCTCCGCACTCTGACCCTGTGCCTCCCAGGCAACGCTGCCCCTGCCTCTCCCGGGCTCCTGCGCCGCACTCAACTGTCACGGGAGTGTCTGGGTCAAACTTGGCCTTTTAATTTCTGTTGCTAGGTGAGGGACTCGATGGGCAGAGTTTTTTAAGTCCTCCCAGCCTCCTGAATTTCTCTGCGATTTGTCCCAGCTTTAAGACTTACATAACGCCTCCTTCCAGGAGAAGTCTGGTGAGGTTTTGTTCTCTTCTGTCCCGCCTCCTCGAGACTTTCTTCTTCCTGGGACTGCAATTACCAATTGCGCGATCTGGGTGGAAGAGTTTGAGGAGCCGCGCGGACGCTGCGCTCGCGCCCCGCCCGCCCGGGTCCGGCCCGACGGCACCTAAACCACGCCCCGACGCGGCCCCGCCTCCCC